ACCAGGGCAAGCACGGTGTCTTTGTCCAGGTCTTTCACCAGATCCACAATTTTCCCCTGTGTGCCCTTCTCCACATATTTGTTGATCTGCTTCTTTGCTTCTTCAGGGTCAGTGAAGTCAACAGTGAAGGCCTCTGACTGGTACAGGTTCTTCACATCCGTTGAAAATGGCTCCAGGAGCTTGAGGTTCTCGGTGATGAACAAACCACTGCCTGTGGTCAGCTCGAGCTGGTTGCTGGGCCTGTTGAGGGAGTGGAGGAGGCTCTGGAAGCCTGCGTGGACATCTGCCTCCGTAATCTCTGTGAGGTTGAAGGCCAGACCCTCCAGGATCTCTGTGTGGGTAGTGCCCTTTGTGCCCAGGGAGAGCATGGCCAAGGCTGCGGCAATGTTCACAGGAGAGAAGAAGATATTGTGGGTGTTGGATTGCTTAGCCAGTTCCCGGTACAGGCTGAAGGTAAAGTCGGCCACGTTTGGGGTGATCCTGTGAAAGGCTGGGTGTTTCTGGTCCTGCTGGGGAGCAGCAGCCTCCTGAACGTCTTCAGCCAGGCAGCCGGGGAGCAAGCAGCATAGGCTGGCCAGCAGCAGGAGGCCCCATGCGATAGAGGATGGCATTGTCCTGCAGGACAGAGAAAGGAACACAGCCCTGAGGCAGGGCCACAATCACCCCATTGACACCATGCTAGATCAACTTGGTGCATCAGACATTGGACCAGGCCTTTTCCCTTTGCTGTGTCTTCACCACAGAATAAAGATGAGGCAAGCTATAGACCAGGTGCAATATACCAGCCGCCCAGCCCCTTCACCTGTCATATTGGAGTCACAAGACGTGGAGAAAGCTTGGAGGTGGCCTGGTTGCATGAAGAGTGACGGGGTTCCTGTGGCTAACATGTGAGGCCAGGTACCTGGGAGCCATGGAGGCCTGCAGGCAGAGGCCTGAGAGGATCTTCCTGATGAGATGGGGGTTGGGCTGGGCCCCTGGCACCACCTCTGGCCTTATCCTATCCATACACAGAGCAAGCTTCCCATGTTCCCAAGTAGGGATTGCCAGTAGCAAGAGCCACCTTTAGACCCAAGGCTCCACTGTGCCCTAGTCTTGGCTCCCCAGGCCTGGGGATCCAATGTCTTGTGCCTGACCAGGAAACTGCCCAGGATCTGGGAGGCCTGGGAACAGGACAGGACCACAGGGTCTTCATTGCCATGACCACTTAGCCTGGCTGCAGCCAGCCCTATCCCCTCTGCCTCTCTGTGGCCCAGGCCTGCTGCCTGCTGGGTCGTACAGAGTCCCGGGGGCCCATTGTGCTCTCCCCTAGGGTAGACGTACTTACAGCTCTCTGTGCCAGGGTGTCCTGGGGACAGAGCCTTGTCCTTCTCTGTATTTAAGCAGGGGATGGAAAGGGACCTGGGAGGCTGCTAGTTAATATTAACCCAGGTCACCCCATGTTTGACAGGAACAAACAGACGGAGGGACTAAGTCCATTGGCTAGGTGCTGAGCCTCTTGCCGCCCACGCTGCTGTCATCCCCTGGGCAGTGCCTCGCCCTGGGCCCCACAGCCACCCTGGAGACTGTCCCTAGCTTCTTGGGGCCAAGGTAGAGTGGGTGGCATGAGTTAGCTGGCTCTGGGACATGATATGGCTTTGCCTGTGTGACCCGGTAGGCGTTCCCCCTGTGTGGGTGGCTGAGGTCCCATATTCACAATGTGCTGGTCAGGATGTACACAGAACTTGAGTGCAGGCCCCAGGAGTATGGGGAGGGGCTTTGTTTGGGTCTGTCCAGGAGCTGTCCACGCTGCCATCCAGCGGCTCTGAGCAGGAGGAGGTTCCATGTCCCCTGTCCTGGCCTGTTTAGTCTCTGGGAAGCCCAGTGACATGCATTGGCCACCTGACATTTTCCTGGGAATGAGTCCTCATCCTGGGCAGGGCTGGTGGCTCTGCACTCCAAGGTCAGAGTCTGTGGGACTCCACTGATGGTGGACTTTTGTAACACTGCATGTGAGGTTGTCTCTCCTGTGCAGCCCCAGGCTGCTCCACACCCAGGGCTGCTGTGTGTGTATGGGATAGACTTGTGCCTGGACCATTTCACCCTTCTCTCTCACCAACACCGTCATCCTTCCAGTATGAGCTCTGTCATGGTAATCCCGGGGTCGCCATGGTGGGGACAGCCCCCTAGGGAGACCTCCTCATTGTGGAACAGCCTCGGGCATTTCTGTAACACCTTGGTGGTCTGTGGGAGGCCTGGATGCAGAGTCCAAGGACGCCCAGAGCCTGGTGCCCAGGGCACTCAGGCAGCCCTTTGTGATGGCGCCTGGTGGTGGGTGGGGTTGAGGTGCTTCCTCTAGGCGCACTCTGTGTGGGTGTCCCCAGTGGACTCTGTGGGAGACTCTGCACCCCATTCGCCTTGCAGGAAAAGGGAGACTGGCCTCAGCAATTCTCCTTGCTCTCTCTCCCATGCGGCCCCCATCACTGGCTTCTGGTCTTGGCCTAGGCTCTGTCCCTGCGTGCACTCAGGCTTGGGAAGCCAGGCTGAGGCTGGGCTGCCGGCTGACCTCCCCACTCCTTCCTCCTCGCCCCTCCCATCTTGGGCCTCCAGTTTCCCATCTTACAATGGCCTCCCTGGCAGCCCGGCTGCCCCTCCCATCTGTGCTAGGTGGGCAGCCACAGGTGCCCTGTGTGTCCTGTTTTCCCACACTCTGCCCCTTCAGGTAGGTGAGTGGCCTAGAGGTGCTGGAAGATCCCCTACCTGGAATTCCTGGTGTCTCTGTCCAAGCCGCCTGTAGCCCAGACCCCTCCTCAGAGCTGGGCAAGTCAGATCAGCACTCCCAGAGCTGCAGTGAGGGCCACGCACCACCCAAGCTCCCAGCTTCCTCTTCTGCCAGCATTGCCCAGGGACGTGGTCCAGGAGGGGATGGGGGCTGAGAGAGGAAGGGACCTCCCTCTGCCAGGTGCACAGGAAACCATCCCTTGCTGGCCCTGGCAGCCCTCTGGGCCACCTTCAATACTGAAAGGAATCCTTCACATCCATCCAATGGGACCACATGGGGACAAGTAGGTTCAGGACAAAGATTATTGTAAGGTTTATTAGAGGGGCCATATTTCAGAAGAGGTAGAGTACATGGTGCCTGTCCCTGTCCAGGTAGCAGGAGGGTCCAGGGGCAGGAAGTGAGGTATGTGTGTACTCAGGTAGGTCTGGCCAGCTCTATGGCTAGAACTCTAGGGATGGGAAGAACTCAGGTCTGGTAGCTGAGGATCAAAGGTGAGCATAATGGTAACAAGTACCTGCCAAGTCTGAGCTGTGTGACCCTGAAAGACAGCTTCCCACACTGACTTCTAAGAGGAACTGTTGCCCATCATCCATTAGAGGAACAGTGGCCCTTGCTCAGATCTCTAGAATGGACAGGCTTTGCCTTCTGGCACAGAACCCTGACCAGCACCTTGGCAAGGTTTCTGGGCCAGCTGCAGAGAGAAGAATTCTGCCTTGCCCTGCAGTGCCCAGCAGTGGCCCCTGCATCTGGGAAGGGGCTGTGTGCTGTGTGTGCCAGGAGGGCCCTGGCTGAAGGCAGAGAGGGTAACAGGTTTGCACTGAGGCATTGGGGGGGGGAGGACACAGAGCCGAGGCAGCTGGGAGTTGGGAAGGGTGAGGAACTGGCTTGATCTGTTTAGGTCAAGGGCTGCATGCTCAGCCCTGATTCTCCTTGGCCCCTTAAGGTCTCTGATGATCTGGGGAAATGGATACAGATACAAGGATAAAAGAAGCTGTGGGTCTCACAGATGATGGGGCCCAGACATTAGAAGTTGACCCAAACAGGCCTCACTGTGGAGACCTTGCCACTAGTTACTTTCTGACATCATCTATTTTATAGTCTGGGCTGATTTCCCACAGTGAATAGATCCTGGAGTCTCCCATAGGTGGCTATACACAAGGGACACCTGGTGACCCGCTTCTGCCTAGAGACAGTAGCCACATGGTCTGAGACCACCATGCTGAGCCCGGACTGTGACATGGCACCAGGAAGGACAGATGGATGACTGTGTGAGGGACCTTGCTTCAGGGGCTCCAGGGAGGCTGTCCTGGGAGACTGCAATCTACCTGATAGACACACAAACCATTAGGACACAGCTCCCTTCAGTGGCTGAGGCTCCTGGTTCATGTCCCACTCCACTACCTTGTTTGTGAGCTCTTAGTCAAGACACCTAAACTCACTAGATAGGCAGTGTTGTCTCTGAATAGGGTCATAAGGACAACTCTGGGATGGGGAAGAGCAATAGAGCCAATAAGGTGGCATGGATTCAGGCATCCTGTGGCCCATTAATGGCTGACAATCTTGCTAACTATCTGTGGTCTTGGTTGGTGATGAGCCTGATGGGGCTCAGCACAGTGACATCTGTGTTTGGCCCCAGCTAGAGGAGCAGCATTCTCCTAGATGAAAGTTCTACTTCTCCAAAATAGCGTCCATTCCCCTTTCAGAGGACTCCTGCCTATTTCATTACTTGAAGGGCACAGAGCCAGGTGTGGTTCATTTCTTCCTGAGGTCCTGTGATGAACTGGGGCATGTGGCACTGCTGGCCACACAGACACAAATTCAGGACAGATCTTCCTTTCACTTCTCTTATGCTCAGCTTCCCCATCTATAAGGCAGCAAGCAATGGGATTGTTTCTCACGCCGCTGTGAGGCAGACGGAGAAAAGGTCTGGGAGAATTTTCACACACAGTCTCTGATGTTGGCATGGCGGCCACCTGCGCCCCTTCTCTAGCCTGCTGCTTCAGCCTCTGTCTTCTGGGAGATGAACTGTGTGTCACCATCTTGTTCCCTCCTACTTGGCTCTTGCCAAACCTACCTTTGCCAAA